TATTTAAATAAATTATTAGAAATATAAAATAAAATTATAATTATAACTGTATTGGTACTCTCCTAAATAATATGGGTATCGTAGAATTTTTCTTATATATCTTTATCTTTATTGATCAATATATCAATTAAATTTGAATATTCTAATCGTAATATTTATAGATATTAGTTTTTAACAATACCCATTTTAATTATTTTTTAAAGGGAAATATTTTCAGATTTTTTCATTAATTGTTAATCAAGAAAATAAAAAAAATTTATGAAAAATCACAAAAATTATTATTATTGAAGAAAATAGTTAAAGAACTTTTTTTTTAAGAATGATCTCCAAAAATTTGATATAGCTATTTCAATTTAATATATTATGAATTTGTTATATCTTACAACTTATTCCAATCATACGTTGGAATTTGAATTTGAGATTTAACATTTATTTTGGCATATTATTTTTGTTAATTCTCTATCAAAATTTTTTTTTTTTACTTAAATCGTTATATATGTTGTAATTTGTAATAATATATGTGTTGATTTTTTTTTAATGAACTTCAAATTTCACATTTTTTTTACTTAAATATTGTGATATATGTTGTAATTCGTTAATATGTGGTTAAAAAATAATTAATTCATACCTTAAATTATATCTAGCTGATTAAGACAAAAATTCAAGTCAATTATAAATTTTTTATAAATAATTTGCAAAGGACATTGTAAACAAACATTTTTTAGAAGTAAAAACTAACTAGTTTGTGTTTTTACAACAAGTTCAAACTTTAAAGCAAACATGAACAATTTAAGTTTAGGCATACAAGCATGTGATATTGTTGGGATTCATCCCAAGTCCCACATCTGTAAAATGAAGGAACATTGGCTAGTTTATAAGGGGATCCACCATTCCATATAGTATGAGGCCTTTTGGGAAGGAGCCCCAAAACAAAACCGTGCGAGCCTAGCCCAAAGCGAACAATATCATACTATGGTGGAGCAACAGGTAGACTATCGGGCCCAACAGATATAAATGAAAGAGTCACTAAAATCACAAAATAATTAAAGGAGTCTCACTAATGAAACACATACATTAAATAAAGTCATATAACTATGAGGCTTCAACACTACTCAAAGCAAAGACTTTTCCCATAGTCCTTGGTCTACTAGCTTGACCACCACTCCAATTGCAACTAGTTAGCTCCTTCTTGGGATTAGGACAATCCCTTGTAATGTGCTCATTTTCTTAACAATTGAAGCATTTCCTTTCTTGATCTGGGCAAGAAACTACCTTGTGACCCAGACAACCATGCTGAACGATATCGGAGTAGAACCCATACTCTCATCATGTATAGTCTGACTAACCACAAGTTGTTAAATCTTTTATTGGCTTTGTTGCCTCCATTAACGGTTACCAAATTGACAAACTAGCATTGAACATGGTTAGCTCCTATTACAGAAGCCATACCTCTTTTAATCTCTAACTAGTACCACACCTTTATAGAGTGTTGCACATGCCTAATTATCATCATAATATATTAAACTCATTCACCAATGTGGGATACTGTTGAGACTTCCGTTGAAACACTTTTGTTAATATTTGTAAATTCGTTTAATTCTATCAACGGTCTCAAACACGGCAAGTATACCGGCCGTTCAAGTAGTAAAAATATCGTATCCACAGGGATTAGAAGGTAATATAAGCATTTATTGACTATTCGTGACTAAAGAATAATTCCAATTTCATAGTTTGTGCAGTGAATTCAAAGTTGTGACTATTGGAATGAAAGCTGTAAATAAATATTGTTTTGTGAGTGGAAAAGGTAAGGAATGGTATTGTGGTATTGTGAGGTTGTGGGGGTCAGATTTCACCAAACGTAACACTAATGTATCCTTAATCTCTTGTTGAATTCATTGCTTAGTCAACCCAAGAGTTTACTCAAACCTAATCCCTTAGAGAAAGAGCCTAGGTGCGGATATTGAATATCAATCCCTTGAGTACCCAATATCTACACCCGCATTACGGGCTAGGGTTTAAGACTACTAATGGGTCAAGCTCTATCCCTAGATACAATCACCACTAGGCATATGTTTCAGAACTAGTTTCAAAGGTTATTTTCCAATACCCATGGAACCTTAAATCATGCAAAGGGTGATCAATCCAAAGCAAGCATTAAGAATAGAAACAAACACAACAAAGAATAAAACAACATGTATATATATCATTAAAAACGTAAGGATTACAATAGAGTATGTTGGTTACATCTAACCCCACAAAAAATGGGTAGAACCACTCAAAAGTGAGGGCAAAACAAAATAGAGATGAAGGGGAAATGAAGAAACCGAAGGAAAGACCCACACACGAACAACTCCAAGCTCCGGGAATCCCTTCCACAGCTCCTAAAACTCGTCCAATGTGTGAATGGGGGAGAAGTCCTCGAAAATGCCTTCAAATACAAGCTTGGGGAGACAGATTAGGGTTCATGCGCCCGACGCATAAGTCTTCGCGCCCGGCGCATGGCCTTCCAAATGCCCTCTGTCTTCAGGACACGCCCGGCGCAATTCATATTACGCCCGGCGCAATAGCTTCCAGAGGTGAGATGCTCTGTTTTGCTCGCCCGGCGCGGATCACCTTGCGCCCGGCGCATAACCTCTTCTCTGCTCCTTAGCTCCTTTTAACTTCCAATCCTATGGATCTTCAATCCTCAAGTCCCTAGCTCAATACCTGCACAAAAAATGAGGTGTATTAAGGTATTGTTAGCTAAATTTGGGTTAGTTATATCTGCACACAAAATGAACCAAAAAGAGAACAATTATATTGCAATGGTTCAAAGGATGAGTGAAATTTGTTCAATAAGTCTCATCCAAAAAGAGGTAAAATTGAGACTTAACAGATACTGGTGAATCTTTTGGTAATTAATGGCATGCTTGATCTTAAGACACAAGCCATTAACAAACTTCACATGCTTCAAGTGTTCAACGTCCTCACCATCATAGTGGGGAAAGTAATGCACTAACTCCTCAAATTTGGCAACAAACTATGTTGCAATAGTGTTACCTTGCTTTAGCTCTAAAAACACCATCTCCTTTTGATTTTTAACATCTTTTGGGAAGTATTTCTCTAGAAAAGCCCTTTGAAATTATCCCAATTCACTAATGTACCAATTGTCATCATCCTTTATAAGGTGTTTTCCCACTAATATCTAACATTTCCAAGCAATACAAAGATACGTGAATGATATTATCAATAGTGAGTTAGTTACATAGGAAAATAAAATATTAAAATAAACTTGTTTTAATATATTACAAATTTTAATTAAAATAAAAATGAAAATAACATTAAAATAGTAAAAAATACAATAATATTTTGTACATGAAAGCCAACTTCACTAATTAACTTTCTAGTAGTGTCACACACGTGAAAACTATTAAAATAACTTAATTTTAATAATTAATACTAATATTTTAGTATATGGATTACTAATTGTGTATATTATCATTCATATTTTGATTGATTTTGGATGACACGTTAACGATTGACCAATATTGCTTAATTTTAAAAGCTAAAATGACCAAATTTGTAATAAATTTTTTGAGGAACCAAAATTGCATATTCATAAAATTATAGGGATTGAAAGTAGCTTTAAGTCTTATTTAAATTATAAATTTCATTCATATATCAAAGAACATATATTTACTATTAAATAAATAAAATTCACATATATTTTTAGTATTAAAAATTTTATTGAATTTTCATAGGTAAAATAATAATTTAATATTTATAGATAAAACTATAAGCCTTTTACACAGGGGTTCTAATCGCACAAAAGTGTTTCAAGAAGCAAAATTAAATACAAGAGAATTATGTCAAGCACTATATACTCCATTCTGGTTATCTAAAAATTATTGGACTCGGTGACTAAACACGATAGTTTAAAATATATTTATTTTATAAATCCAACTTAACAGACTAACTTTTTAATTTTCAAAACCTTCTTATAATATTTATAACTATTATTTAATTAAAACCTAACAACTAATTTTTGAAAGCATTTTTACTCTATAATTAATTAATATTTTATCAAAAACCCAATTAACTTATTTTTAATTTTTAAAACACATTAACTAATTTTAACTTTTTATTTTATTTCTCAACATCTCTTTTCTTTACTAATGTACTCATTTTCTTATTTTTCTCTTTACTACACTCAATTTTATATTTTTCTTTCTTTTGCTTATTTTCAT